ATTTATTTATACGGACTACACCATTGTATATGTCCGTACAGCTACGGAAGTTCAGAGGAATACGCATAGATGAAACCTACCATAGTAAAATAATTACTTCCGTTCCCTTAGGAATATTATATCCTCCAAGTGAAGTGTCTTTCAACGCACAATGAGGAAGTGTGAATGGTGCAATACTACCAAATCGCTGTATTTCCAAAAGCGTAGCTTCAGTATAAGACAAGTTTTTACGATCGTCAAGTCTCGGGAGACGGTTTGCACCAACAGCCTGGAATCATGAGAAACCGAATAGTGGTCGGAATTACAAACAACGTTCAACATAAGGACACTCAATAGTTTGAAGCAGATGTGGCTATTTCACAATTATGCGATTCAAGATACACCTGGCTTAATTTGCAAATGCATTTTGTATAGTACGTACCTGATCAATTTCATTTCTGGATGAAGAACCATTAATAGTAACCCCCATTTAAGTGTTGTCGCTGTTGTTTCAGTTCCAGCACCAAAAAGGTCAATTAATGTATATTTTAACTAGTCGTCTGTAAGATCTTTATTGCCGTCTTGTTTCATTGTCTCAGCTAAGTATGCATCGATGAAATCACCTATGTTGTCTGGGTCGAATACTTCACGGTGTTCATCAATTTGCTGCTTGCAGAATTTCCTCAGATCATCACCAAGTGTATTGTAATTATTTATAATTGATTGATTTAACGGCCTTCGAAACGGTAGAAAACCAAGTTCACACATAGTGCCCATAAGCTCAAACAATTTGCCAATAGTGTCAATAATGAAACTGAATTTTGGGTCCGAATAGTTGAATCGTTTGCGAAACATTATCGAGCAAATTACGTTGGAAATACTCCTGTTAAGGATGGCGCCTGTATCGATAGATTTATCTTGAATATCCTTGAAATATAACATAATATAATGGTTTCACATTTATTATCGAGCAATTTCAGAGACGATGTTCTAGCTAAGGATAAATCCATAATGTTGCTGACCATGTACAATAACTTTGCTACATAAACTTTTCTTCACAAATTAGATCAAGTCTTAGCTAATGCATGTAACAGGAGTTGTATGTAACGAATGGGCCTGTGTCGATCGAATTTTAATAGTGGTCCTTACCCTAAATTCATCCAGCAAGAAAGAGATGTCCTCACATATTTTACTTTCCATGCTGGTTTTACCAAATCCAAAGCTTCTAAGCGTTGTGTGGGCAAATTGTCGGCGACGTTGCCATTTCTCATCGAAGTGGGCATCAGTAATACCTGGCGATAGACTGGCAGTTATTACATGAAAAGAAACTATAGAGAATAAATGGACGCTAATCTACCTTTTTTTAGAATTAGTGGTCCCAATCGTTGGCTGTTTTAATTAGTTAATTATTTTATTGATTACAGTTTAATTATTACCTTCATATCTTGGATTATCTAGTTCAACTATCCAAGAATATGGTCTATCAGCAAAATCGGTTCCTTTTTTTACCAGGCATTCTTTGATGGCATTCACTCCATTTACAACAACGGCTGTATGACATCCCATCTTCAGACTATAAATATCACCATATTTCTTTGAGAGTTTCATCATGTCTTAGTGTATATCAGATCCGAAGTACATAAAGCTGCCAATGATAGGTAATCCCCAAGGTCCGGGTGGGAAGTTCTTGCAAGGTGCCAGGTAGTGTTGGGTGGTTATCCATGCTAACAGCATTATCATCAACAACACCAGTAGTGATAACGGATCAGTTGGCACTGAGACCATAACGTTAGACCTGCGTGCAAAACAGTCTGTAAAGATACAGTCAAATACGTAACGGAGATTAAACGATGTTGATAGCTAGCGAATTTAATTCCACCATCATTGTCCAGTTATGTGGCACAAGTTTCGAACTCATACTTCAATGATGATTATGACCATTCAAAAATATACGTGCGTAGT